ATAGGACTTAATCTAATTTGATGTTGTAGAGAAGTGAAGCATCCACGCTGGGTGAGCAGGCTGTCTGGGGAGGCGAGGAGACTGAGGAGGGAGGCAGGATTCAGGCCAGCTGAGGCCGGCTGTGGGATTCATGAGGCGTGGAACTGGGAAGTCTGCATACAGATGCCTGGAGCCCTAAATATAGCTGAGGTTAACTCACAAGGCAAATGCTGATGATGGGTTTATGAAGCCATGTGGCCCTGGAGAAGAATCAAGTCTCAGTTTTCCAAAGTCTCTTTTATGACAAGAAAAAATGAGAATGAGAAGATATCAATTGTCTTCTGGGCGACCAACTGAAATACTGAAAGGTGTGAGCAGTGCCACTCAGAGAGGAGACCAGAGCAGAGATCTTCAGGCCAGGCTTACTGAAAGGGGAGAGTGACTGGCCTGGGCAGTGCAAAGTTGGCCTCTGTGGAATGGGGGCAGTTAGGGACCCTTTTTATGTGGGATGGTAGAGGGTGAGCAAATTTTGTGCTTGCCCTGAAGGTTAGGGATTCAGGGGTGCTAACTAGCTCCCTTGTGTCTTTGTCTTAGAGGAGGGGAGGAGGGCAAAGGGTTTACAAGTGGCTGTACTAGCCCCCCCCCCAACAAATACCAATGCTATTAGTTTCTCCTTTCAGTTTTATAAAAATAGATGAATTTAGGGATAAGAAAGTAATATTTCAAAGAAGACCTTTAAAAATGCTTGATTTAAAAATGCAAAGTATTGCTTGATCTTCATGACCCTTCAAGCTTCTGTTGGAATTTCCTTAAAAATGAACCTTTTTGCTTTCACAGAAAACTGAATGAAATTAGAGAAAATTTATATCCTCTCTCACAAACACATGCACATGTACACGTACACACACATACACATAACTGCCGTGGTATGAATGTTTGTGTCTCCCTAAAGCTCATGTTCAAACCTGGCCCCCAGGTGATGGTGTTAAGAAGTAGGACCTTGGGGGGTGATGAGGTCGTGAGGACAAAGCTCTGGTGAGTGGGACTCGTGTCCTTCATAAGGACACCTGGAGAACTTCTGCTCTTTCTGCCATGTGAGGACACAGAAGCCTGCTGTGCCTGAACCAGGAAGCAGGCCCTCTCGAGACACACACACACACACTGTGGGTAATTTAGTTTGATCTTTAATTTCCTGTAATCATGTGAATTTTATAAAATGTGATTACTTGGTTTGTGCTTAAAAACAACATACTTGGGTTCTATCCCAGATTTCTCTCTCCATAAAATCCCCTGTTATGACTTTCCAATGTTGGAAAGCTCTCTACAATACAGTCATTACTTTGGTCAAAAAAATGTTTACATTGAACACATAGAAGATTTTGTTTATTGTTATGTTTGTGTTTTTCTTTATGTCACCAGATTTAACTGGTGGGATCTTTTGGTCCACCCAGTTCCCCTCTCTGCATGGTGCTCAGCAGGGACACGAGGCTCCCCAAGCACCTTGCTGGTGCTGGATCCTGACCGGTGCCCACACTGATGGGTGCCCAGTAAGTCACTGTGCATGGGAGGCTGTGGGACCCCACAGTTGCTCTCATGCTCCAGAGAGGAGCAGGACCCTGTAGTCCAGCACAGCCTGGGGCCCTGTGCCTCCTCCCTCGGGGGCCTCCGTGGAGAGCAGAGCAGGCTCTGGCACGAGCTGTACTGGACTAGACAGTGGGACCCTAAGGTCATTGATACTCCAAGTGCCATTTTCTCATCGACAAAGTGAAAAAATTTTGCCTAGAAAAATAGTATATTTCCTTCCAGTTGTTAAATTCTATGACAATGTATTGAACTCAAAAGAGAAAATAATAAGTGGCTGTTTTTAATGAAAATAAACTGAAATCTATGCAGGTTTGCTTAGTATCAAGCACGCCTGGTGGTGTTTTAGCACAGGTGTTTGGAGACCCTTCTTGCCCCAACCTGCTCCTTTGGAGGGTGAGTGTCATCTGTCAGTGTCACCTGGCACTTGTGTGCCACATATTACAAAAGAAAATAACAAAGTTTTTTCTTTTTTAAAAATAAGCTCCTTACTACTCATGGAAAAGTACCTTGGCAACACTCCCAGGGAGCTGGAGGTGAAGGGGCAGGAATGACAACATTTCACATATAAAAAAGACAGCCTATTCTTAAGTAAAAAAAAAAAAAAAAAAAATTAAATTGTATTGAGTGATGCAGTCACTTTAATATTTTCCCACAGGGCTTTGTGCCCTATTTTAGTAACAAAAGATCAGCTGTAACCAACCATGCCCCTAAATCAGTTTGCAAAAGAAATAAAAGAAACTTCTGAAATACCAGCAGGCAAGAGAGGAACAACGTGCCCTTATAAGGCACCAGTAACTTCATTTGAAAAGTAATTTCATGTATTAGAGAGGTAGTTCTCTCCTCCTCTGTGTGACAGTTTAACAAGAATCTAACAGATTTATGTATCTAGCAACATGAGCAAGTTGCAATAACCACAGTGAACCCCAGCAAATTAGATGCATTTGAGAAGATGTGAATGTACCACAAATCCTGGGCCGCATTGTTTGACTTTTCCATGATCTTAGGATTTTTTTGACCAAAAAAAAGAAAAATTGTATTCTCTCAGTGTGGGGACCTATCAAAGTGAGGGCTTTTAAGTATCTCTTTACTGAAATGCAATCTTTGACTTGCTACTTAACTAGCTTCCTACTTGGGATGAAAATGAAAACTAGCGGGTAAACTGAGCACTAAATGTGGGTTACTGACCAGCACCGTTACTGGATGAAGAGGGTCCAGCTGCCTGTCACTGTCCAGACAACATGCGGAGACGGAGATGAAGTCCACCAAACTTTATTGTCAGAGGGCCAGCAGTTTCGGAGAACAGTGAGAGCAGCCTCTTAGATCTGTTCTGCCTCAGTTACAATTCTAATAATTTTTATAACGGGAATACCAGGAAACAAACCGAGAAAACTTTAACTTTATCTGACAGAAAACAAAGTAGTCTTCACCCTAACAATGCAAAATGTTTAAACAACCGAAAGGTAATTTTCACTTTAACAAAATAGCTAAGAGAATCATCAAAGAAAACATCATTATCATCAAAGTAGCCTTTACTCTACCAATCACCACACCTGTTGTCTGTATGTGACTACTTCTCAAAGTCTCCTGACACACACGTCCTCACAATCATGGTGAAACCTTAGCTAGATGATCCTGGAAGGTGCCTGGGGAAGGCTGAGCAGACGACGTCAGCTGTTCTGCTTCAGCTGAGCTTCTCAGCCTCCATCCTGCCGGCTCCTTTTCTGGCTTCGGCACCACCCCAAGCTGGGTATAGCAGGGACAGGGACAGGTGTTGACACACATTCATGAGTGGATGTTGCTGAAAGAGGATTAGAACATCAGTATTTAATCGAAGTTTCTCTCTTGCCCTGGAATGTTTTAATAACCCTGTTTTCACACCGTGTAAAGGTGTTCCCTTGGTTGGCTGGGTGTGCCACTGTGTTGCCCAAAAATCTCAGAGTGTCCGTCTTTGTCGGAGCCTTCTGTCTGTGCAGACTTGGTGACTCCTTGTTTTTCTGCACTGACTCGTGACTTCATAAAGCAGGGCTTGCTAAAACACCTTACACATTATCTCATGCTTTGCTCTACCCAGTCATCGGCATTTCACTGGACTAACTCAGAAGATGGAGAACCACCTTTTACAAGGCAACTCAGTCTATTTTTGAAGAGAGCTAATTGTTTTCAACATTTGCATCCACATCTTTTTCTTGGCTTTTGATGTATTAGGTCTAGTCCCATGCTCCTGAATCACTTAAAATACAGGTTGAATATCCTTTATCCAAAATCCTTGGGACCAGAAGTGCTTCAGATTTCATTTTTTTTCAGATGTTGGGATACTTGCCGTATTCATACCAGTTGAACATCCCTTCTGAATATCCGAAATCCAAGATGCTGCAGTGAGCATTGTCTTTGGGCATCATGTTGGTGCTCAAAAGATTTCAGATATCTTGGAACATTTTAAATTTTGAATTTTTAGATTAGGAACACTCAACCTTCATACCTGACCCCTGATTCTTGTTGAAATCAGCTAGTATGTTACTTCCTGTGCATGAATCCAGATCCTCACTTATTCCATGCACTGCTCACATAACACAGAAATGATTCAAATTATTAACATTGCAAAATCCTACTTTATCTGTACAACTTTGTCTCTTCCTCTGGTGGGAAAGCTGTTTTTGTTCTTTTCTCTGAGTGGCTGTTCATCTCAGTTTGCTGCTCACACTCACCCTGCCCTGCTTCCTCACCACCTGCTGCTCCCACCCCTAGTCAGCAGCTCAGTGAAGATCCTCCACGGGGTCTACAGTGACTGCCCCACCCCTACCCACTCCTAGGCTCTGTTGGTCTTAAGCCCACTTTCTGGCAGGAGCTAAGACTCCCTCACATAGCAACAGTCAAATAACTATTTTTGTGTGGCTGAGTTCTAAACATAGCACATTTGTTTTGCTGTTAATTTTATAACGTATCAAATGTTCCAATGGATCCTTTTCTGACATCTTTGAAAGTTTAGTATTTACCATATTGACTGGCAGCTTTATAAGAAATTCTGTTAAAAGGGGAAGTGAAATCTGGATCTGTGTTCAGTGTGGATACGGGAGCGTCTCAGGGACCTTATTATGGTGTACTGAGGTGGTAGGATCCACAGGGTCAATACACTTGTCAAGTTATGGTTTTAAAAAGTGTTTAGATAAAATACCAAACAAGTTGTGGAGGGGGTTACTCTATGGGGTTTCTAGGAATTATTGAAATTTTTATGCTGCAAAAATATTTGATTCTGAAAAATGAGTTCTTTTATCTACCTATAACAAGAGGTCCCCAAGAAATTTGAAATATAAGAAATCTAGACAGGAGCAAAATTTCATTACTTTACTAAACAAACCATTTAAAAAAGTCTGAGAGTCATTCTAAAGTGTTCTACCAGGCACATTTTCAGTCTAGTAAAGCCAGAATCTTCCCTCTAGTCTTTAGAACGACACTGGAAGTTAATCCGAGATGAAGGCCTTGCAGTGATGGATAAAGCCAAAGGTCTCTTCCTGCCTGAGGATGAAAACCTGAGGGAGAAGGGAGACTGGAGCCAGTTTACACTGTGGCAGCAAGGTGAGCTCCTGACTTCTAGGTGGTTAGAGAACCATCTAGAAGTGATCTGATAGGAAGTAGGCACTGGTGAAAGTCTCCTGATGAAATGTCTCAGAGCTGGGATTCCCAAACTTAAAGGACAGAGCCCAGAAAACCTAGATTTTTGAAATCCATTCATTGTTTTTGAAAACTACCTCTGAGCCCTATTTGTGTGTGTGTGTGTGTTTATAGTGTATTTGGAGAAATGTTTATAAGTAGTATTTTGATTTTCTTGGTCTTTCTTGTTGACTGACATGTCACTGAAGTAGCCCTACTGTGGTAGGCATAACTGGAAGTTCCACCACATGTTGTCAATGGCTTAGGTAGGAGCATCTGTAAACCTCATTTGCTCCTGTAACATGGAGACAATACTGAGATGTCAAAACAACATCACCATGGAGAAGAGCTGTTAGAAATGGTAACATCCCACAGTGACACGTCAGTAGTAACTGCCATTTGAGCTTTTAAGGAATAAGAAGTGGTTCATATTCAACTTCGTATTTCTAGAGCTTAACCCAGGTCCAGACACAGAGACAGGGCTCCAGTGTGTCTGTTTTCAGTGAATTAATACAGTAGACCCTCCATTGTTGACCACCTCCCTAAGTTGACTGAATTTTCATAGACTAGACATGTACCACATGTACTCAATGGAAGTTCCTTGTATTGACAACAGATAAGAAAACGTTGTAGGAGGAAAAAATGAAAAAAATAGCATATAAAGGAGCTCTGATATGTCTGTCAGTGGACTTCTCAGTGGAAACTTTATAGACCAGGGGAGGGTGGCATGACATATTCAAAGTGCTGAAGAAAGAAAAAAACCTAACCCTCAAGTATGATATCCTGCAAAAAAAATGAAGGAGAAATAGACTTTCCCAGGGAAACAAAAGCTGAAGGATGTCATCAACACCAGGTCACCCTACAAGAAATGCTAAAAGTAGTTCTTCAGTCGAAAAAAAGGGCATTAATGGACAATAAAAAGATCCCCTGAAGCTCAACAACTCATTGCTAACGATAACTACACAAATACTATTAACTGTGTATACAAACCACTTGTATCTGGCATAGGAAGTCAAAAAGACAGACATCAAAAATAACTATAACCATGTTTTGAGATATAGTATAAAAAGATATGGATGGAAACAATAAAAAAGTTAAAATGCTGGGAGGATGGCATTAAAGGTTAGAATTTCTATTAGATTTCTCTTGTTTGTTTGTAAGCAGAGTTGTCGTATGTCTAAAATAATTGGTTATAAAATGTTTTTGTACGTCTCATGGTAACCTCAAATCAAAAAACCTGTAACAGAAATACAAAAAGTAAAAAGCAAGAAATCAAAAGATACTACTGGAGAAAATCTTTTTTGTAGAGTTAATAGCAGAGATTTATTAAGAGCATCTACAAGCAGATGAGCTGCCACCAAAACTGGAAAAGGGCAGCCTTAGAAAATCATTCTCAGCAAAGTAAGAGAGGAAGGAAGGAAGAGAGGACCACAGAACAACCAGAAATCGAATAATAACATGGCGGTAGTAAGTCCTTACCTGTCAATAACAAGAATGAATGTGAATGGACTAAACTCTCCAATCAAAAGACACAGAATGGCTGAATGGATAAAAACAAGAGCCAACCATATGTTGTCTGTAAAAGACACACTTCATTTATAAAGACACACATAGGCTGAAAATAAAGGGATGGAAAAAGATATCCATGCAAAGTAGTTGTAGTGATACTTGTGTCATATAAAATAGATTTCAAGACAAAAACTATAAAAAAGAGTCAAAGAAGGTCATTACATAATGATAAGGGGTCAATTCAGCAAAAGGGTATAACAGGGTATATGCGAAGGCAATGCTGGAGCACCCAGGTATATAAAGCAAATACTATCAGAGCTAAAGAGAGAGATAGAACTCAATATAATAAAATCTGGTGACCTCAACACTCCACTTTCAGCATAGGACAGTTCCTCCAGACAGAAAATCAACAAATAAATTGGTCTTCGTCTGTACTACAAACCAAACGGACCTAATAGCTATTTATAGAATGTTTTGTGCAACAGATGCAGAATTCACGTTCTTCTCAGTTCATGCATCATTCTCAAGGGTAGACCATATGTTAGGCCACAAAACAAGAGTTACAGAATTCAAAAAATGGAAATCGTACCAAGTATTTTCTTTGACCACAATGGAATAAAGCTAGAAATCTATAACAAGAGGAACACTGGAAAATGTACAAACACATAGAAATTAAAGCATGTGCTCCTGAATGACCAGGAGGTCAGGGAAGAGATTAAGAAGGAAATTTAAAAAGATGCCTTGAAACAAATGAAATTGAAAACACAACATATCAAAACCTATAAGAAACAGCAAAATACTCAATAAGAGAAAATCTTACAGCAATAAGTGCCTATATTAAAAAAGTTGAAAAGCTTCAAATAAACAGCCTAATGATGCATCTCAACGAACTAGTAAATCAAGAGCAAAACCAACCCAAAATTAGTAGATGGAAGGAAACAATAAAGATCACTACTAGTTATTTACCCCAAAGAAAAAAAGACATTTTATAAAAAAGGTGCCTTCACTCAAATGTTTATAGCAGCACAATTCACAATTACAAAAATGTAGAAACAACCCAAGTGCCCATCAACCCATGAAAGGATCAATAAACTATGGTACACTGTGGTAACACAGAATATCATTCAGCCATAAAAAGATGGTAATCTAGTATCTTTTCTGACAACCTGGATGAAATTGGAGACCATTCTCCTAAGTGAAATACCAAAAACTAGAAGAACAAACACCACATGTACTCAACACTAAATTGGAGCTAGTTGTTCAATACTCACATGCTCGTATGGAAGCAAAAGTCAGCGGAATTCAAGTAGGTGAGAGAAGGGAGAAGGGGTTGGTAAACTCACACCTCATGGGTACGTTGCACACCTGCTGGGTGTGGGGCACACTTAAAACTTTGACTTAAAATATTCAAAAGCAAACTAACCAGAGCAAATGTACCTCCATCATATGCTGAAATAAAAAATAAAGATCAGAGCAGAAATAGATGAAATTAAAACAAGAAAAAAACCAAAAGGTAAATAAAATTTAAAAAATGGTGTTTTAAAAAGAAAAACAAAATTGGCACACCTTTAGGCAGATTAAGAAAAAAAAGACCCAAATAAATTCAGGGATTAAAAGGGAGACATACAACTGACTGTGTAAAAATCCAAAGGATCATTGTGACTATCAGCAGCGACATGCCAGTTAACTGGGAAATCTGGATGAACTAGGTAAATTCTTAGACACATGCGTTCTACCAAAATTGAACCCGGAAGAACCCCAAAATCGGAATAAATCAATAACAAATAAGAAGAAAGAAGTCACAAGACAATGTCTCCCAACAAAGAAAAGCCCTGGGATCAAGAAGAATTAATCCTAATCCTACTTAAACTATTCAAAAAAATCAAAAAGGAGAGAATACCTCCAAACTCATTCTGTGAGGCCTATGTCACCCTGATACAAAAATCAGATGAAGTACAACAAAAAAAGAAAACTATAGGCTGATATTTCTGATAAACTTAGATGAAAAAATCCTCAAGAAAATACAAACTGAATTCAACAACACATTAAAAAAATTAATCATGATCAAGTGAGATTCATTGCAGGGATGTTATCATGACTCAATATACACAGATCCATCATTGTGATACATCATATCACCAGAACCAAGGACAAAAACCATATCATTGCTTAAATTGGTGCTGAAAAAGCATTCAAAGAAATTTAACATCCCTTCATGTTAAACTCAATCAAAAAAGACATCATGTTCCAATTAAAAATAGTGTCTTTGTAACTCTTTAATATAGTCCTACGAAATGCATTTTTAGGTTAGAAATATAAGCTATTTTCTTTGGGGATATATTAGTTTCCTGTGTCTACTGTAACAAATTATCACAAAAGTTGTAGCTTAAAAAATAAGCACATTTATTATCTTGCAGTTCTGGACATCAGAAGTATACAAGTGGTCTACTGGTTCTAAAATAAACATAGGTAAAAAGCTGTAATTCTTCCAGAAGCTCCAGCCTCCATAGGCTGCCTGCATTCCTTGGCTTGTAGCCTCCTTCCATCTTTTGCCAGCAGTGACCAGTTGGGTCTTTCTCATTCTGTGTCACTTGAACACTTTTCTGTCTCCCTCTCCCACGTTCAAGGATGCTGTGATCATGTTGGACCCATCCGTTTAATCCTGGATAATCTTCTTATTTTAAGTCAGCTGATAAGAAATCTCAATGCCATCTGCAACCTCAGTACCCCCTTTCATGAAAGCTAACTTATGGACATGTACCTGGGATTAGCATATGTGAACATCTTTGAGAGAGGGTCGTTATTCTGCCTGACATCACAGCAGAGGGTGGGGTGGAACTAGTACAGTTGACCCTTGAACTATATAGGTTTGAACTGTGCAGGTCCACTTATATGTGCATTTTTTTAAAATAAATGTACTGGGAATTTTTGTGGAGATTTCTTACAATTGAAAAAACTGGATGGTGCCTGTGGCTCAAAGGAATAGGGCACTGGCCCCATATGCCAGAGTTGGTGGGTTCAAACCCAGCCCCATCCAAAAACTGAAAAAAGAAAAAACTTACAGATGAATCTTATAGCATAGAATATCAAAGAAGAAAAAGATATGAATGCATAAAATAGATACTAGTCTATTTTATTATTTGCTACCATAAAATATACAAAAATCTATTATAAAAAGTTAAAATCTACCAAAACTTACACACATAAATGGAGACTATATATGGAGACATTTTATGGGGCAAGTTAGAGTCCTTGGACTTCCTTGGTTGTGGCTCCCGCAGAAGGCCCCATGTTGTCCTTGTACAGCCATAACCGTGCAAGAGGATGTCATGTTCACATGACTACTATGTTTAACTCCTGTTTGGCATTCTACCACTATTGTCCCCTGGACATTTAAGTGTACAGGCCTTTCCCCTTGTGTGGATGTCCCATCCCTGCTCAGGGGCTGCTGTGGCATCAGCCTCCCACGCAACACATTTGCAGTCAAAAGAAATGTAAGCAAGGGTAAAGATGCAGTGTTAAATCATAACTGCATAAAATTAACTGTAGCACATGCTGCCCTACATCATAATCTCACAGCCACCTGCTGTCAGAGCTCCAGTATTACAGTATCCACGTAAAACTGTCCGTGACACTCATTATCTCTGTGTGAACAGTTTGCCTATCCTGTAAATTGTGCATCGCAGTCAAGAGTGATCTCTTACGGCTCTTGCATATTTCTCTCTGTGTTCAGTGCAGTACCTTACATTTCTAATAACAACGTGGGAACCATGTGAAGTGCCACTAGTGATGCTAGAAGTGCTCACAAGAAGCAAAGCAAAGTCCTGGCATTGCAGGAAGCTGAATGGTCCATGCCGCAGACAGAGGGTCTGCAGCCGCAGCTGCCCCCTCTCAGACAGATGGCCCACCTTGTAAACAGATGACATAAACGTATAGTATCAATAAATATAGCACAGTACTGTGAATGTATTTCCTCTTCTTTACGATTTTCCAGACAACATTTTCTTTTTTCTAGCTTTCTTTATTGTAAGAAAGACAATAAAAGACAAAATATGTGTTTATCAGCTGTTTCTGTTATCATCAGTCTGTTTTCCGGTCAATAGTAGGCTATTAGTAGGTCAGTTTGGGGAAAGTCAAAAGTTGTACATGGGGGGCGGTGCCTGTGGCTCAGAGGAGTAGGTCGCCGGCCCCATATGCCAGAGATGGAGGGTTCAAACCCAGCCCCGGCCAAAAACCACACACACACACACAAAAAAAGTTGTACGTGGATCTCTGACTGAGCATGGGTGGGCACCCCTAACACGCATGTTGTTCAGAGGTCAGCTGTATTTGAAATGTGCTCTGTCCACTAGACATCATTTGTCAAATAATGCAAAATTGAGTGCAGAGTTCGGATCCTTGCCTGCCAGTCACTGTGGGAGCAAAACACTGGGTGTTCTGTGTTCACTCCCCGTCTCGTTCCCACAGTGAGGATGACTGTGTAGATTGTGTGCGGTCCAGATGGGATGAGGTAAGGCTTTAATGTGATTTGATTCTAACAGTTATTTTCTCATTTATTCTTCCAGGAAGAAAAAATGAAAATGCCTGTAAAGGAGCTCCTAAAACCTGTAATCTACTAGAAAAGTTCCCCGAGACCACAGGATGCCGCCGAGGACAGGTACCCGAGTGTTATGGGGCTGGGGAGAGCACAGCCGGTCGCTAGGGCAGGTGCCCGGAGCGTTATGGGGCTGGGGAGAGCACAGCCCGTCGCTAGGGCAGGTGCCCGGAGCGTTATAGGGCTGGGGAGAGCACAGCCCGTCGCTAGGGCAGGCTGGCCTTTGCAGAGAAATGGTCGTTTCCTTCGGCAGGATGAATGTGTCTTCTCTCCTTTCCTTTTTAATGAAACATCACTTACGTGGATGATGTCTGAATTGAGAGTGGAAAATGTTCAGTGTTTATCACTTCGTGGAAAATACGTGTTTATTTTTAGTTCCTTCACAAAGAAGTAAGATGTGAATGTAAAGTCTGAGTCTCACAAAGGCTCTAATCCACGCTGACAGTCGTTTTGTACTGACATTTTAATTTGGTGGCTCCTCTGCGTTTTGGTACATGCCTGAACAGAGTGTTGTCTTTTCTACACAGATCAAATACTCCATCATGCATCCTGGAACCCACGTGTGGCCTCACACAGGGCCAACAAACTGCAGGCTCCGGATGCACCTGGGCTTGGTGATTCCCAAGGAAGGATGCAAGATCCGATGTGCCAATGAGACCAAGTGGGTGTCTTCCATCCCCTCTCTTAGCCACCACTCTGAGCACAGGTGCTCATTACCTCAGAGCTGTGTTCAGTTGGATTATTTCTCTTCCTCTGTAGCTGAAGTAGGCTGGAGCAGGATGATATTAATCCACTCTCTTTAGTCTCTATTCCTTCTTTGTGCTTCATCTGGAGATTCTGCCCAGTTCTAGGGCCACCCTCCTTCATTCTCCCCAGAGCCCTTATCCGTCTAAGGAGCCTTCTTGCTCCTCTCTGTAGGCAGACAGATTTGCATTCCTGGTCAGACAATGTGTATTCAGCCCCACACTGTTAGGCTTTGTGCTTGTCGCTTTAAAATTTGCATTACTTATAAATATAAGAAGTACCTCTCTCTGACAAAAACACCCCATGACATTGATGTGTTTTGCTATGGAAGAGACAGCATGGTGGGATAGAAGCTGCCTGCCTCTTTCAAATTCCAGCTCTGCCACCTAATCCTGTATAACCTTGGCCGGTTACTTAATCCCTTTGAGCCTCAGCCTCCTTGCTTAGGAAATTGGCAGTGATAATATCTACTTTGCAGGGTTGTTGTATGGATTAAGCAGTATAATGCCTACAGGCTACTTAATCCTTCTTCTGGCTTCAGCAGGATTGTAGTGAATGTCAGATCTCCTGTCCTGCCCCAGTCTTGTTACAACAGGTCTGTTCATGATCATGTGGACCCTCGCTCTGGCTTCTGTACCTATAATGCTGATACCCCCTCCTGCAATTCCTGTCTTGTCACTCAGCCAAGATAGACCTGTTCCTAAGACCCAATTTAGGTTCAGAGAAATGGAACTTGTCTTCTGACTTCCTAGAGTGTGTATACTACATCACCTCGATAATCCTATCTCTGTTGCTTTTTATTCCTTAAAATCTGTTAGCCTTGGCTCCACAGTATGTACGCTCCTAGAGATCAGAAACCAAACTGTTGTCTTACACATTTCTCAGGGTCCTTAGTAGGGGTCTGAGTGGAGGGTGAGAGTTTGGGGGTCTATGGAGTTGTCCATCTGGGTATTTACAGACACCCGCCCTGGGGACACCTGGTGCTGGGGGGGATTCAGCGCTGATTCAGATGTGGCCTTTCCGCTGCCAGGTGTGGCTAGTCAGGAAAACGGTACAAAGCAGAATGGCATGTGAGTCATCAGAGGGGCACAGGTGAAACGACTCCAGATGGAGCAGTGAGGAGGGACCTCGTCTGCAGTGGAGGTTTGGGAATCTTGACGGTGGCAGTTTTTAAAGACCGAAAGGATGGGGACATTGAAAATTGGAGAAGTACATTTCAAAAGAGCATCTGTTAGGACACAGAGGCCAAAATTCACATCAACACAGAGCAGGGTCCATAAAGCGTAAGGTGGGACGGTAAATGAGTATCTTAGAAGCTGAATCATAGGAAGGTCAAAATACCAAACTGATGGGATTAGACCTTTGTTAGGTAGTTACTGTGGAAGCCACGGGTGCATGCTGTGGGGGAAATGGGCAGAACAATGAACAGGCTGACAGAGTAGCCCACCAAAAAGGTCGGAAGAGCTGGAGTTGGGATGCTGGAAAGGAATGCAGAGGAAAGAGCGGAGGCAGGAGCGCTGCAAAGACCGAGTCAGGCGAACCTCGGGTGTGTAGCACAAGGGGAGGGAGTCGGAGGGGATCCTCCATTTTAGTCTTAGTCATCAGGAGGGTGTGATGCTTTAACAAATCTTGAGAATTGGGGAGGCATGGGGCAAGTTCAAGGAAAGGAAAGTGAGTCATTTCTTGTGAATATTTTGTTTAGTTGCTGTTGGGCACAGTGGTAGGTAACTAGGTATGCAGCTAGAAATAGAGGTCTGGCCCTGGGGGAGAAGTCAGGTGCAGAGATAGAGCCTTGAGAGGCAGGCTTACCAGGAGAGGAAGCTTGAGAGACAACTGAGAAATAAAAGTTCAGTCCTTGGAAACTTCTACATTCAGAAAGTGAAGGAGAAAGGGGAACCAAGGAGACAGGGCAGGAAAGGGCAGAGTTGGGTAGACCAGGAGGAGGAGTCAGAGATGGCTGGACAGGTGGAATTTTTCTTGTGAGAAATGAATCTTCTCAAACCACTGGGGACTCAGTTTGGGTCTGCAGAGTCTCTCTGTCCAAGTGAGAAGGGGCACGGACGTGGTGAGAAGCCCAGGGAGCTAAGATAGGCTGCGGGAGCCTGCCCGAGGGCACCGAGATGAATCAGGCCACCTGCTGGGAGATGGGCCTGTGAGGCAGGGCAGGTGCTGAAGAGCTCCAGCCCCCTCCCTGAGCACCACTGAGGGTTTTCAGACTTAATGTGCGTCTGCTCACTCACTTGCTCTCTCCCCCAGCTTCCCCAGCTTCTGCCTTCCTTTCTTACCGTCTGCCATCTATTCTGCTTGTTGATCCTTGGAGCAAAATCACTAGATAAAAATCCACTGAGGCACAGGTCAGGAGAGAGAAGGGTGTGGTAATGATCTTAGACTTCAGTGGCCTGAGTCAGAAAGAGAAAGTCCAGGTGGGAAGAATGGGTATGGCAGCCAGGAAGGGGAGCAGGAGGATGGTGCTGGGGGATTAGGAAGTTGGAGAGGACTCAGAGTGCATGCTGGGTATGGGGCACACACCTCCCAGCTGCTCTGGAGGCTGAGGCAGGATGATCATTTGAGCCCAGAAGCTCAGTGATCTACACTGTAGTGTGCCGCGCATGTGGTGACAAACAGCTACTGCCCTGGGGCCTGGGCTGCAACCATAACGAAGCCCAGCTTCAAACAGCAAACTCAGCAAAATGCAGGGTGACCCTGGAGACCTCCCCACGAGCACATCTGTAGGCACGTTTCCTACCCAGACCTCCAGCAAGTGCTGGTGAGCACGCGTGACAGAGAAACAACTGCCACACCCCTGGTTTAAACCATGAAGTTCACCATCCTCAGGTGTTGCAGGGAAGGGCTAAGAGCCCCAGCCCGGCAGCTTGCTCAGAGGGGATCTCACATAAGAACATTAACTTGGCAGCCCTCAGTCGCTGCTGCGCTGAAGTACAACCTACTTCGTGCGACAGTAAGGAGCTGCTGATAACCAGAATTTGCAGATGGTGTATTTTGCAAATTCGCAGTGACTATTAATAAGCGCTCGCCACCTGCCTGCGGTTACTGGGCCAGGTTACTGCTCCCCATCCTCTCAGCCCTGAAGAGCCGGGGGTCCCACGACGGGGGTCCGTCCTCATCATGGGCACCGTCAGTGGTCTGCTGTGTATCTGTGCTACTTTTCCTGCTATGACACCGTGTGTTCTCACCTGTGTCATGCCTGCCTCAAGGGCGGTCGAGTGGGGCTGAGTACTTCATTACTAAAATGGAGGTAAGGGTCAGTGAAATTTAAGTGCTGTGTGACGCTCGTGATGAAAATAGCTAGATGTCTGAATAGGAGACACTCAGCTTACAGACTGAGGACAGAGAGAGTGTAATATGAAATCTGGAAGTTCCGTGCCGTGATTATATAAGTACTATTAGCATGGAGCACGGAAAGAAACCAGGAAGTCAGGTTTCCTTGTGCTATGCAATAGGAGGCAATTTTTCAGGCCTCTCAACTTCCAAAAGAGTGGGTTACCCACAGCAATTTGTGCATTGTAGTTCTCAGGTCTTCAGAATCAGATTGCTGTTTCCTCAGAGCTATGAGGTTTCTGCCTGTGTGTGTGCTGTTTAAATATTCCATCCCTGGGACACGGCACGTGGTCTCATGAGGAGAGCACCCAGGTATGGAGTCTGTATCACTATAAATAAATGATCATCTCAAATTAATAAATGTCTTTTGGTTATAAAACTCATATGTGCCCCTTGCATGCAATTTGCAGAACACAGAGAAGCACAATTTTAAAAGTATTATTTTTGATCCCAATCCCCAGCGACAGTGCCCACATGCTTCTCGTGCCTTTACTTGTATATCCGTGATAAAGATGGCGACAGTGATGGTGTATATGGTCCCAATACAGCTGTGCCAAACCCAGTTCTAAGCACTTTAGGTACATCACTCATTAATCCTCACAACAATCCTACGTGATTAGAATTATTAAAATCCCTATTTTACCGTTGAAGAGATTGAAGTGTAAAGATGGTGAGTAGGTTGCTGTTTGCTGTTTGTATTAGCGTGGTCGGGGTGACGTAACAAATTGCCACGAACTGAGGGACTTAAAACAACAGAAAATTACCCTCTCACAGTTCTGGTGGCCAAAGTCTGAAATCAGGGTGCTGGCGGGCTGGCCCATGCTGGAGGCTCTCAGGGAAGATCTGTTCCCCAGTCCTGCCTTCTGGGGGCCGCTGGAGATCTTTGCTGTTCCTTTCACTCCAATCTCTGCCTCTCTGTTCAGTCACTTTCTCCCTGCGGTGCTTTCTCTTTTAAAAGGACACTTATCACTGGATTTGGGGCTTGTCCTAATCCAGCATGATCTCATCTCAAAACCCTTAATTACATCCACAAAGGCCCTTTTTCCAAGGCAAGAACATTCACAGGTTCCCAGTTTTCTGAAGGAAGCGGTGGGTTCCACCCACTGCAATATTAGAACCAGGCTTTGGTTCCAGGTATTCCGGCTTGGAAGTCTGTGCTCCTAGATGCAACCATTAGCCTTGCTTGGGCTTTTTGGATTTTGTTATTGTTTATAAAATGGGGTCATGCTACACTTGTGAAGTAATCACTCTGAATGCTGACTCTCCTTTCCAGACCACTTGATAGCAAGCAGAGAAAGCAGCTGAGAAACCTCCAGGTCTGGGCCTTTCATCTGTGTCACACCAGGCAGGCCATGCTTTGTGGTTTGTAAGATGCTCTCAGTAGCAATGTTGATCTAGAACCAAATGAACTTGAGTCTGTGGGTAAACACGCCCCTGGCAAGTGGGACTCAGTTACCTTTGTGGAGTGGCTCAGTTGTTTGAACTTTGGATGATTCCAGACAGAAAAATAATTCTTCCAACTCTCGAACGGAGCCTTCCAAAGTATGCTGGTACTGTGCAAAGAATATGAACAGTGAC